TTCACCAGGTCGACATGGGCTAACCTGGTCATATCGTGATGCACGTGGACCCCGAGAACCACCCAGGTGGCGCGCTTCGATGGTTCCGCGGCAGAGAGCCAAAGAAAATGGGCAACAGTTGCATCCTGTGGTCCAATGGTCTTATTGCGGTACTTCTTTGGAACCGTCTCCGGCTAGAGACGCTTCTAAAAGCCAAAGAACAGGCTTCAGCAAGGGCAATTTGCATCAATGAAGACTGGTTCTTGCGGGAACAACCACTTGAAACAGGAGCCCTAGAAGTCTATATTTTGACCGACTGAAGTGAAGGAAATTCTGAACTCGGGTCACCTAAAGACCGTTCTTTCTATAGTCTTTGACTCCCAGGGGGAGTGCAAACAAATCCTCGCACCGCGTTGTGAAAGTCCTTGATCTTCTCGCACTGCGTCCCCTTGCCTCCGCGAAATCGCGAGCAGGCCGGTAACGATTCACCATGGAAAAGTGGTCGCCAGCTAACGATTCAACATGTTCAAAAGTTAAAACATGAATGAATCGCACCCACAGGCTGTCCGACAGGCATGTCATATAATAGATGCATTTCTCTATCCGGGTATTGCAATCTGCTAAGACTTGGAAGTTCTCATGTTAGCTGGTCAAAACGTTCCCATGTACCCTCTGAACATGAAGAGAATGGGTGAATGCAGGGGGTATGACTGAAATCCACGAAGGCTGGGGAACTGTAGTGACTACAGAGTTGCTCTACTTTCACAAAAGTCGGATGATGTTTGATGATATTTAGAGATGTTTCTCTTCACGAAGCATACAAAAGTGACACAATCTGGCTCTATCGCTCAGGACCAAACCGCAGCCTCGCAGCTCAACCGCTAAACCTCAAAACAAAGCGCTAGATCGACACCTATCAGAGCTCTTGGCGTCAATCCTGCAAAAGAAAAGTTAACATCAAAGAAATAAGACTCCTCTCTAAGACCAAAACAGTTAACATCAATAAAACAAAAAATATCGACCAAACACCGTTTCCCTTTACAGCCCACGTCGTTCCACCGCTCCACCCCACCGTGGAAAGAATTCACCTCACGACCCCCGCCTGCGGCTGGTGGCCCGGCGATGACCACGATGGAGCCGGCCGCCGCACGGCACACGGTCAGCGAAAGCCTCCGGGCCGCCGTGGCCCGGGCGCCGGAGGTCCGGCGGAAATCGACTCGGGGCGCCGGATTCTGGAGTTGAGAGGCCGTAGCAGGCGCTGGAGCGAGGGGAAGATGGTGTGTTGACTTGTTGATCGCGCCGGATTCCCGAGCCGATGCGAGTGAAAGATGGTCAGAAGCCAAGAATCATGTCTCACACATCTCGGATTTCAAGCAGTTGTTTGATCAAATGGGTTGATGCAGCAAAAGAACCCCGAAATCTGAAATCTAAAGGAGGAATCTGACGCTTGCCATCAACAAGCAGTTCGTGGCATTTCGGTTTCTTTGTTCTGCATCCACCAAATCAAGGGGAATTATGCTTCGTCAAGGATGATTTGTCTTGTCCCTTGGACCTTTTTGTTTACCCTCTTTTCAGTCACTGTTTTTGCTGTTCGGTGAGATCACTGTCCAAAAACAAGGTGCCCAATGATCGTGTTTCTGTGGAGAAAATGAGTCCATACCAGCACCCTCCTGGCACCTGGTGTCGCACCTGTGAAGTCGGGTCCAGGTACATGAGTCCCGACATATTAGAATATACCCCCCCCGGAAACGACGATCCCATGGACCATGAAAGTGGAGCCCTGTCAGCAAGACGATTCTCATCTACCACCCAGCGGGGGGGTTCAGGGTCCATGTTAATCTGGTAATAATTGGTTTTATATAAACGGGGTTTTCAGGTGCCGTGTTGGTCTCCCTCTCCTCAATCTTGGCGCACGAGTCTCGAGGTTGAAAAATGGTTTTGTTTCTGCTTCGGAGCGAATCGTTGCACGTCGGAGTTCAACTTATGCGTACCCTGGTGGTTCAATGAACCAATTTGCTTATATGTGAGCAGCCCAAGCAGCGAGCGGTGCCGATTCCCAAAGGTGAACAGTCAACTCAAGGATGTCGTGAATCTCTAAGTTCCGCCAGCAGCGAATTTCCCTAGCGACCCTTTCGTCCTGCGTCCTGCCGTGCGCCGGCTGGCCCGAAAGATCCCCTTTGCGCCTGCTGGACGGGTCTCGCACTGAGGCCTGGCGCTGAGCTAAGTTCGACTGTACCTAACATGTCTTGACGTGGATCAGACATTTAAAGACTTAATGAATAATTAATAGAACAAATCGTTTTCTCTTGCTGGTATGAAAAGTCTTGCAGATCCTGTGTTGCTTCCATCTGATTGCTTGGACCAAACATCTACTCGACCCACAAAAAAACAACGGATGAGGAGGTTGAAAACGATGCTGCACCGCGCAGGTCAAATGGGGACACACCGAGTTGGGTTCTGACCTGTCATGAACTGATGTCATGAGAGTTCATGTCATCGGTTCATCGGACATGAACTTCAGTCCAACGCGGGTCCTCGCTTTGGCGCCGCAACTCCGTGGCGGTAGGCCGTGTGGCGGCTGGGGATTGGACGATCCCTACTTCTTCATCCCGAACCTGGTCGGAGGTCCAAAAAGGGCGGAGGCATAGGTCGGTCAAATGGCAGGTCAACCCTCAGCTGCGGCGCAAGTCGCCTTTTTGAAGCTGGGTTTGGTGGGAGGACCGGGCGAAACCGAACAAATAGGAGGACGCGGGAGGACCTGTCAATCCTCCCAAGTAAAGGTTGAATGGAATCTCTGAAAACCCACCCAGCAACGGCTTCACACATACTTAAGCTCGCCCGGACGCCCGGAATAGATCCCTCGTCGACGGGCGAGGTTCGGTCGGGCGCCCAATCGCCTGCCCTGGACGTGGCATAAAAGCACTGGCGCCACGGACGTGGTGGAAGAACCTTCAGGAGCTGACTTCTACCAGGACCCTCACTGCCAGGTCACCAATTGAAACCTGACAGGGCCCTTCCCAACCCTCCAGAGGTCACCCAGTCACGGAGAACACGCCTGTCTGCCGAAGCCAACGAAGAGGGAGTCAGGCCTACAACAGCATGGCGTTGCTTCAGCGGCTGAAGAGGCTGCTAGACGTGCCAGTTGGAACTGTCAGGAGCTACAGAGTGTCCATCATGCATCCTGGTTCAGAAATTCCATCGTCAGTCTTGGATGAAGGCTCCTGGTGAATCAACTAATTAGGATAACCATGGATAACCTATCTAACAGGAAAAGCCTGGACCCATTGGCAAGGGTTTGCCTGATCTCCTGGTTTTCGGGTCAGCTGATCGGTTTCACTGCTCTGACGACGAAATGAGGGGAGTCCAAGCCTCGGACGTCCGCCATTCATTGACACGTCGTCAACAAAAAAGAAACATGGCAAGTCGAAACACCCCAGCACTCGAACAACCCTCTCTGGGGTCGATGTGAAGCGGAGGATTGGAGCCTGAGAGCCAGCAGGAGGAGGGGCGCCAGCAGCACCCAGCGTCGACCTGGTGGGGGCCGTTCTCGCGAGAAGTGGGGGACCAGGAGGTCCGAAGCTCTTCCGTGCCGCTCACGGGAGGTCCCGACAAACCCTCTCTGTCTTTGGGTTGTGGGTCCTTGAAGTGCGGTCGGCCGACGCAGAAGGGACACACCAGGGACAGGGCTGTCAAAAGGAATCCTTTGTAAGTCGTAACCCCCCTTAGGCAGGCCTTAGGACTAAGGATATCACGCTTGATGAGGCCAAAAATATCTTGAAAAGATAGCTTACAATGAACTCTACCCCAAAGGAATCCTAGAACCCGCCCCCATGGAAACAAGGCGGAGTCACATTCAGGAAGGGACAAGCATAGACAAGCCATGAAAGGTCTGGCTCAAGAGGTTTGTGAATGCACAAGGTATTATCGTACAAACACCTCAAGATCAACATCAGCTTCTATCCCTACAAATGAAAAATAGTCAACCTGGCACCACCCAGAACTTGTTTCACCTTTCATCCCATCACTGACATGTGGGCCAGCTTGGAAGCCACAGAAAACCAACATGATCACCTACTCTTCTGCATCCACCGCATGTTGGCCACCGGTTTTTTGGCACACGACACCACCAAACCTGGGTGTCCCACCGGACGAGCTTCCCATTGGGCCGGCTGCTCGCTCGTCGGGTCGCGCGGAAAATCGGAGCCAACGCTGGTGCGGCCGGGCGCAAGAGGTGGTTGATGGGTTGGGCTGAGCAAGGATATGCTCTTTCTGGGCGGGCAAGGATGCTGTTTAGCGGGGTCTGTTTTCATTGAGGTTTTTCACAACACCCTGAGGTTCCAGTGAAAGACTATGCCACCTCGAAATGTGTCGTCTTGCAAGAAATGAGAGAATGGGACTCCATGACTCCATGTCACTACATCAATTTCAATTGTCCCGTAGTGACTGTAGACTCTCTGTAGACCATTGATGGAAAAAAACAACTTAATGGATCTTAATGGAGATGTAACGCCATTCTGGAGATGGGAGCTATTCATTCATCAACAGAATACCATACATGACCCAACCAGCTGTTTGTGCCAATCACCCGCCCTCACCCTGTTGACACCAATTCCGCCCGCCACATCCGACAGCCTGGCAAGGTCAAGGAGCGGCTGTGTGCCTCGGGACACCGTCGGTTCGGGTCAGGTCGGGTCGGCCGTTGGATGTCGGGTCTGAAGCCGTTGAGGTGCTTGGGGTTCGGTCCCAGCATAGGGGCGGGGACCGAAGAGATTCCAATTCTTGGAGCAGGATGTGAGTTCTTTCATGTGCTTGGCCTGAGATGAAGCTCTTGGGTGTCGAGATGTTCCAGCTGGGAGCTGGGGACATCCCCAGACCTGGAATGCAGCGTTAGAGCCGGAGTGAGTGCTCGACCCAAATCTCCACGCTCGGAACCGATGCTCGGAACCGACCCTCTCCCTCACCCTCCTGCGCCCTGAAATGGTTCCCCCCAGCAACAAGGTGCCTCATAGTCAACTGCAGTGCCTATCACAGCGATCACACACTCTCCATCATATCCTAAAAACCTGATAACTGCAATACGGTAGAACCCTGTAAAGACAGCAGCTCGAAAGGTCGTCTCTCCTTCCTTTTCTTCCGAACATCACGAGACTTGTCTGGCCCTCTCTGCCTTGAACTTCGACACCCGTGCGGGCGCCGGCGCGGTGTCCCCCCGCGGCGCCGCACGGAAGCCCTCCAGCTCCGCCGCGCTCCGCTCGCGGATCTCCGGCGCGAAGGCGGAGCCGGAGCCGGTGGAGCTGCCGGTGGAGCTGCCGGTGTCGCCCATGAGGCGATAGAGGTCCGCCGGAGAGCTCGCCACGGGGTGCTCCGAAGGAGAGAGCTCCGCCGCCGCAGGGGACGGAAGGTTTGGCTCTGAGAGCTCGCCACGAGGGTTGTAGTGGTTCATGATCTCATCCAACTCCTTCATCTCATCCCGCACCTCCCTCTCATCCATCTCATCCTCACCCTCCTCCCTCTCTTCTCGTTCCAGCTCCCGCAAACGTTGCACGAAAGAGCCGCTCCCACCGGCGTGACGCGCAGCTTTCTGCGCTTGGTAGAAGTCTTCAGGCCTGCGGGGTAACCCAAACCTGAAGCTACTGGATGAGCTAGATGCTGATCCCTGAAAAGCATTATGGCAGGATATGGCAGGGTCTTCTTCCAGTGAGAGAAAACTAGACTTGCAAGATCTTGCAAGACACAGAACATGGGACCCACAATGAAGATTGAAAAAGCGTGTTCCACAAAACCTGTGTCTCAGTGTGTCTCGCATGGTCCAGCCTCAAGTAGGCATAGTCCTCCTCTTCCATTCCCACCAAAGGCGCCCTGATCGCCTCCGACGCCTCCGGGTCCGGCTCTCGGATGTCGAAGAAGCCGTCCTCGCGTGTCCGAGGTCTCAGTGTCCGAGGTGTCGGTGTCCGTGTTCCACCGGGTTGGCAGAGTTGGGTCGAGGCTGGAAGAGATTGAGGCCGTTCTCATCCCTTTATCTCGTGGATTTTGGAGGTCCTCCAGCCTTCAGGTCACACTTGAGTGGCTTCTTTTCCTGCACTCGCATTGGGCTACCATCAAACCCCAGGAGCTTCCGGACTATACTAGACTGGACCAAGCTCACATACTTTCTGCATGCCAATGTCATCTAACCTGCCACACCATCGAAAAGCCATTCCAGCTGTAGGGTGCCGAAAGAGATCTGTTTCATTTGAAGTGTCATTTCATGTCATTTCACCAACTCAAATATGGACTACAAGAATCATCAAGAATCATCTTCACCTCCCCCCCTCATCACCAACAGCTCACGGAGCGAGAGCTCCTCGTCCGTCTGCACTGTGGCGCCCGGCACGCCCGGCACCGCTCGCGGCTCCTCCCGGCGCGAGGTGGAGCGAACGGCCTCGCCGGCGGCCAGCTGCCGCTGAAGCGTCAACTCCCGGAACTCCCGGTCGACGTCCTGCTTGTCCTGAGGGCGTCCGAGGCGGTCGAAGAAGATCGGAAGGTCAAGCAGGTCAGATGAATCAAGTATCCTCCAACGCGCGGCGGCTTGATTCTTGTTCAAGAGTGTCTCTATATAATCAATTTACAAAATGATTCGTTCCCCATCCCAAGATCTCCCGGGCCCATCCGCTCCCGGCCAAAACCGCTCCCCCCTGATCTCAGGGCACCTTCTGCAGCCGCCGCAGCCGCCGATCGACCAGGCCGACGGCGTTTGGGGCGGTGCGCAAGGCAAAGTACTCCGAGGAGAGCTGGGTCAAAACCTGCGAGGGCTGCGGTCCCCGTTGACCGTGGGATCATCACAGGAGGGTCTGTGTTCTTCACGGTGGATCACAGTCATCGCGGTGTGATCACGGGGGTGCAGGGGAGGTGGTTTTGGCTAGTTTTTAGATGAGGGAATACTTGAAGAGGACTTGTTTCTCCATGTTCATCCCACTTGAAGAAAATACTGTATATGTTCAGGGAGTCGCTCATCCCGCTTGGGGGGATGAAAAACGTCCATATGGCAGTCTGGCAGTGGGGCTTCATGGGGCTTGGGTGACGAGCACCCAAGGCTTGCCAAGTAGTTAAACTTCAACTAATTCAAGTGCCAGAAAGACAAACATGTAGCCGCTGGAAAAATAACAGCGACCGTCGCAACAACCATGGTCGCCGGATGTTGGATGTTGGTGGCGAGCTGTTTCGGCAGACGATGTTTCGACCAAAAGAAACCCTTAAAAACCACTTGAAGCCACCAGCAGTTCCATGTCGCAGTGGGCTTGTGGACCCATCCAGTGAGAAAACCGAGCATGGCTCTCCTCCATTCAGCACCCCAAGATCGGAACTGATAGGATCAAAGCCCCCCACCTGTCTGCTTGAAAAGCGGACGTCGAAAGCTCTATGTTGGAACAAACAACGAATCCTCTGATCAACCAGTCCTGTTGAAAAACAAACAACGAATCCTCAAAAACAAACAACGAATCCTCAAAGACCCTGGATCATCCAGCTTGTTTCTGATCAACCGTTCAAAAGAATAAATGCTTTCCAGTCCTTTCAGTGTGTCCAGCCACATGTCCTGTTTCCTCTTTCCTGATCGACCAGTGATCTGCGTGCCGGAGACCCGCGTCCGACCCGCACCTCATTGGTCTGCACCAAGTGTCCGGGGAAGGACGCTAAAGGTCCGAAGGGCACCTGGGCGAAGGGCACCCGGCGCGGTGCGGATGTGACCTCCCTGGGCACGATGTGTCTCTTGGGTCGAGTCGTGGGTTGAAGCGAATTGAGTCCTTTGATCTGCGTTTTTTCGAATTCTTTGTGCATAGGCGTTCTCATTTGATGTGGTGGAGATGAGGGGATGAATCCTCACCGGTATCAGCAGTGCATAGTTTAAGGGAGGCCTTTTGCCAGGCAAGGGTAGGTTCCCGCTCTCAGCAAGTGGGATGACGGATGACCTAACCAGAGTCCAAGGAGTCAGTTAAGAAGACCAACATACCAAACATGCACATGAAGGTGCAGCTGCAGTCTTGCAGATGGATCATTTCATTCCTTTCCCCCAAAACGATCCTCGGAGTATGTACCCTCACACCGCTGTACGATGTTTTCAGCAGCAGAGTCTTACATGTTCCCCACATCTCACACCAACTCATCTCTCACCCTCTCACTCACTTGCTCACCCACGCACTCACTTATGTTCACCATCAATCATACTTCCGCTCATCATCCGCATACACTCATCCGCTATCATTCCTTTTCCTTCAGCTGCCATTCCTCCACTGGTTATATATAAACACAAAAGCTTCCGGGCTTTATGAAGTTTTTGGATTGCGCCTTAAATGTAGACTGTTGATGAATAAAGCTCCCCTTAGGAAGAGGTTTTACCCAATCCGCCATACCATACTGAGATTGAAATGCCACAACTACCTCCTTCTCAATCAGAATGCATATGGCCCGCCTGGCCTGAAGTCGTTCCGAACCAAAAAGAAACATTCCTACAAATGGTTTGTAATGCTCATTTTCGGAAAAAAGACTTCTATAGCCTCAAAGCACCGAACTTTAATTAGGTTCATGAAGGACTCTCGCAACCTTCGCGCCGAGCCTGTCAATTAGGTATTTGCCTCAAGGTGCCACCTGGTTCCAGAATAAATTCCCTGAGGGTTCTTTTGCACGCCTGGCTTGCGCGTGTACTCGTCAGGTTTTTCTCTACGCTCAGGTAATTGATCAGTGTTCACTTAGTACTAGTGTCTTTGGGCCTCATGGCCAATGATGCTTTAGCCCTCGGTGTTGATCGATGCATCCCTTTTACCTAGACCCCCAGTGCCGTTTTCCCTTTTAGCTCCGCCATGCCCTGGCTGGTTGTGCATCCGTGTGTTCGTAGGACAATTGATCCCTATTCTTTATGTACGGTCTCACTTCGTGGTCTAGACCCACCCGTACCCCCCCGGTTTTCACCGGGAAGGGAGGGTATGAGTGCGCCTGTTCAGACGGTCCGCCAGTGCGTGCATCCACCTGGAGTCACATGACCTCTTTCCTGGATCCCACCTCCTTACACCGAGCGGCCATGATGGGATGCTGCACCTTCCGCGGCAACTCCACCAGTAAACCACGAAGCTCCTCATACTCGCGTTGCCTCCGTTTCCAGCCGGACGGGGCGCTTAGAACGCCGAGGGGGTTTCTTTAAGCGGTGACCCGAGCGTGAAAACATGTGTTTTCACAAGCCAAACAGAATCGCTTCGATCGGAGTCTGTCCTAGGGTGAAACGTGTTTAAGCTGGTGTGGGGTCATAGTTCATGTGTGGTTTCTGTTGCGCGTACGACCAAGCCGGTGTGGGTTTTGGGCCCTCAAAACATACATGGCCGTGGATCCAAACAAACACTACCTTCGCTTCCTTGAGAAGTAAGCCTTTGGAGCTCCAAGAAAAAATAGACATAAGGATACGTAGGGTATAAGTAGTCACGCCACCAACTCCGCGTCATGCGTCATCCTATCTCGATCCCTCCACTCCGCGCGCGTGATCCTATCTCGCGCGACTGCCTCTCTTCCAAGGCCTTGGCACTGCTCTCCACGTGTTTCAGTTGTTCCTCCAGCCGTTCCCGCACCGCCGCAAAGCGCTTCGCCGAACGCGGCATGGCGGGGTCAGCGACCGGGTGAGCGGCCAAACAGGATGCGACCGGGTCGGTGGTGTGTGGCAGACTTCACTTGATCGGTGGTGTGAAGAAGACTTGTTCCAACATGTCTTGCTGGGCGCTCTCGCCAACCTGTACCTTCTAAGCTGAGTTGTATGGAAAAGAGCTTAGAATGTACATGAACTCCACATGGACTCACCTGAAAACCATGTCGTTTCCGTGTCCGGCTCGTGTTTTTTGGGAAAAGCGATGCCGTGCTTCCAAAATCAGCGTGCTAGCGTGCTCCCCAACATTCTCGGCGATGCCGTGTGCTCGAAGTCGTTTCCATTCTTTGCGAGCCAGCGGCTGACAAGAAGACACGAATTGGTCCTTCCAAAGCCCGTTGGCCAATGGGTGTTTGGGTTTAGTAAGTCATTATAGGGCTACTGAATGTCTCTTCTTGGACTCCAAAGAACGCGCTCCTTCACCGCAATCCCCCATGTGCTGTTTTGCATGGCTGGCTTCACCGAACCGCATGGCGCATCGTCTCGCCGCGAACGACGCGATCATCGAAGAACGACGCGATCTCGATGCATCGATCGGCATGACACGATTGGGTGGAGCGAGTGAACAAGAACCCTGGTTTTTGTAAAGGAAAGTCGTCTGACTCACCAAAAGAAAGGTGGCCATGCGGCGCCGCCATCCACGTCACCATGTGAATTCGGGGGGTGTCTTTAGCATGTGTCGTGTCACCATGTGGAAGGGCTTTGGATCTTCGGATCGATCTGATCAGTTGCGCGTCAGTTCGGGTCTTCACACTTCGGTTTGGGTCGAGAGTCTCTACGGCGAGAAAATGTGAGACACCGCCGCCTCAAGGGTGGTGGTGTATGCTACGTCAGTTGAAGTGCGGAGGCTGCAGACTGCCCAAACTACACTGTATCCACGACTATCCACGACTATCCACATATCCTAACCAGTGTTTCCTCTACAAAACAGGATCGATTCCACAACAATCATTGGATTTTGCGGGGATTCGTGCCTCGATACAGTGAATAGCTTGGGAGACGTTGGGTCAGTGAATCAAACTGTGCAACACCATCTCACAAAGAAGGATAGAAGTCCCACAGATTTCAACGAAACGAACCAACTGCGCGATGTCCATGCGATGAACCTGTTCGCCACCACGTGCAATTGTTGGTGCATCAGGTCACCTGTGTTCATTTAAAATCGTCAGAAACATGGTGTCAAAACGCACACTTGGAGTCTTTCAAAGACTTGCACCTCCCCGCCAGTCTAGCCCTTCAAATCAACTTGGGAAGTGAATCTTTCGTGAATGGGACTTCCGCACCCGCCCAGGGCGGCCCTGGTTCAACCTCGTTCTCTCTCTCCTTCGACTCGGGGCGTTGGTTGGAAGAGGCCCTCCGACTCCGACGGCGCTCCCGCCGACTCGACTCCGTTCGTGCTCCGCTGTTCACTCGACCGGCGCTCGCGCCGTCGACGGCTGCCTCTGCCGGCGGAGACAGGGACGAGAGAGCTCGCGGGTTTTTTGGGGGGGGGGTGGGGGGGGCGATGTGCGGCACTCTTTTTGGAAGTGGACACCTCTTTGTCGAGGCACTTCCATGTTAGTTTCCGGGAAAACAAAAAGTGATGTGTTAAAAAGAATAACAAAATACTGTACAATAACCTGCCATCCCTTGGAGGGAACTGTTCGCATCCGAAGAATGTCTGAAGGTGCACATCCATCCATCTCCCGATCTCCGAGATGACACACTGAGCTGCTCGAGATGCTCGAGATGCGAAGTAGACCACGCACTGGTGAAAAAAGTCCACCAAGGGAAATCCCAAGAAAAGCAAGCGCAAGCGCACCATGCAAACAGCTTGGATTTGCTTAAGGAACCTGGAAGAAAAACATAATATATATTAATATATATATTATATATTCCCCAGAACGCCCACAAAGGAGATTTAACCAGTTCGGGAAAAAGAAAAACATCACCTGATCCGCACAACCAGGACAGGGAAAACCCTTTGTGCTTCACGCAGCTAAACCCCTTCTCTTCCGAGACTGCTCACGTCTGCCGGGAAAACACTGCTTCTGGTGATCTCCGCCGATTTCGCTATGGATACAACGGCCCCACCATCCACCTGGCGTGGTGTTTACACGGCCCAGGGTGGCCAACGAGCACGAACGAAAACACACGTTCCTCCACCAGGCGTGCGGAAAAAATTCAGCGAAACCGTGTTCTTGGATGTGTTCTTCTCATATCTGCACTGTGAGCTTCACTTATATATATATATATAAACGCCTTCAGCATGGGGTGGGCACTGAGTGGGCACTGACCCCGCACGAACGAACAAGTTTTAGCTTCTAGGTGAGATGGATTCCGGACGCGGAGGAAAATGCACCTACCCCTGAAGATACCTGGACATTTCCCGCTGTGCCCGGCACCTAACTAGGACAAATCCACCGCCTTTGCATCTGCGTGCATCAGCTTCGGCTTTCTTGACCTATGAGATCTTCATGTGTTTTCCTGAAAGCCTGAATAGAATCTACCTCAGTTAAGGTTGGATGCCCCTCAACTTGTGGTCTTGGGAATTTCTACGTCAGGTTGGACGCCTATGTCGGTCCTTGCTATGGAGTCTTGTTGATTCGCATTTCACTTAACGTTCTGTAAGAGGCGGTCTTCTTAGAAGCCTCTCGACCTCCAAGTATCCTTCTTAGGAGCCCCTTCTTGAATAACAGGCTTTCCATTTCGCTCCAAGTCCTTCTTGGCTCATATGGTGCAGTGTGTGTGTGTGTGTATATGTCCCTCAAACAACAAGTTCAAGCATTAGATGTCATATCCCAGCACACCAGCAAGTTGGAAATATATGGGCCTGTGGCAATATATTAGGGCGTGTGGCTCCACTATAGGGAAACCTTTTAGGCCTTCGAATGCAAATGGACCGATCTACCCAGTCGCGAGAATTCGGGGATCTCCCTCTTAAAAATACATAAAAATACGTGGCCTAGAGCCCTTTTGTGACCTCTATCTTGGACCACCATTGCCAACCATCCAAACCTTCTTTTTGCCATTTTTTGCGGACTCAGTCGATTCCAGCTAAGGCCTAGGTGGTGGGCGATTGGGATCGTTTTTGGGGTTCCCGGCCTGCAAAAGCTGCCAACCTCTTGGACTTTTGGGCCGGATTATTTTTTTTCGGAAAAAGCCGCACACAGCACCTCTCGGATCCTATCGGATGTGTCTTAAGCAAAAAGAAGAACAACGAGCAGGTGATTTAAAGAAAGAAAACAGCTTCACTGTGATGAGTCTGAGGCCAGGTGACATTCTCAATGGTCTGGCAGGGCAGGGCAGGGCGGACTTTCTTCGGACCATTTGGGGGGGGCGGTGAAGCACGTTCGGCTTCCTTCGCCGCCGGTGGGGCATGCGGTGCCCGTGCGTTCACGGTGAAGAGGAGTCCTCGGGCGTAACTTCCGGTGACGATAGGTCTGTGTACCCGAAAGCTCCACCACACTGCTGGGAGGTCTCCTTATGTTTCAATGCGGTCGAAAAGAGCGGCTAACGTCTAAAGAGGGAGCAAAAGCTCAAGGCTCTTCGATCAAGTGTGTTTTTTCCTTGCATTTGGGGGTTGCCTACTGTCTGAGGAAGTGAAAGATCCTCATTCCAAGACCGAAACGCCTGTCGTTGCTTCATTGCTTCTCAATCGGTATGCATGTCAAGGATTGAAATCCCTACCTCGAGCGGTTACCTTGTTGAGATAGAGGGTGGGTTTCATGCACCCCACCCACTCGCACCCAGGTCGCACTTTGAAAAAACCACTTGCAGCTCCAGGTGCCGGCATCTGCCAAACGGGTTCATCCTCTGCGTCGATGGGGAAGAGGATGGGGATTGGTCCGAAGAGGAAGCTGATCCACGGCAAGTCTCAGTCGAAAGGTCGACTGAAGTGACGGCACCCGTGGCGGCCGAAGGAAACGGCACCGGCCGTAACGGCGTAAAAACAACGCGGTGTGTGCTGTAACCCGTCGACGCGGCCGGAGAAGGAAAGACCACAAAGGACACGTTCTCGAATTCATCTTTCCTGGCCCACCATTGTTTACCAGGTCCACCACTTTTGGGGGTCTTGGACTTCTAGGGACTAGTAACTTGTCATGAATATATTGCCAGTTTGAAGATCCTGATGGCGCAGCTTCTGGTCACTCGGAGAGTGTGCTACCAAACCCCACGCTGAGAACACACGATGTTTCGCAAGAGGTCTCGGCAAAGAACACACCGTTGTTGCTCTCGGGGGGTTCTCTCCATCTGAAGTCCCCCACTTCACCACTCATCTCCGAACCGCAGCGGTTTCGGGTTCAAGCAGCTGCTCTCCCGTGGTAAACGCAGAGGCTTCGAGACCAAACTCCAATCGCTTTCCATGACCTCGAGTACGGCGAAGTTCGTGCGATAAGAAGGGTCACAACCTGTACCCTTCTAAAGGACTCACATAGACCCTGAAAAAGGACTCCTGGAAGAAGACGTTCCTCTACAATCCGGTTTTCATGGTCCACGTGACTTTGCCATTCTGCGTCCTGGACCTCCAAAAAGAGCGACCGGAAAAGGGTCCGCTACTGTGACCGATTCAAAGGAAATGCCGTCAAAGGCAGAGTTGGCATGTGTTTCTGGGGCAGTTGGGTGTAAATTCTGTGATCACATCCGACTCTGCAACCTTCTTTGGTTCTTCGTCGAAAGAGATCTGGAGGAAATTCGGTGGAATACAGGTCCATTCATTCGCTGTGATGGCAGAGTGCGCTGTTGGGATGGGTGTGATGATCTATGCGCATGCTTTTTCAATCTCCTGTGTTTGGTGTGTTTGTGTTTGTGTTCAATCTTTAGTGATAGAAAAAATGTTGAACATTTTGCGAAAAAACAAATAAAAAAACATCAAGAGGAGGGGGTGCTGCGACGGAACACAAACATACCCAAGCTATTAAGCCGCCTCTTTTCTGGCACCATGTGCACCAACGTCCTTGCCCATTGTCTGCCAGCTTGGGCACGCAATGCTCCACATAGTACTTGGCCACAAAGAAGCTGGCCACTGCGAC